GTTGGGCAATGATAGAGATAAACCACAGTGGAAAAGCATAGCAGTTTTTTGATGCTGCTATTGTTTGCAGATAGGTTTGTCACATCTGTTAAAATTCTAGTCCTATAGTCAAATACTTATCCATACTCTTAGTAGATTGTGATCACAACTCACTTCAAAAGCAGTTATAATTATGTCTTTTATAAAATCACCTCTTTCCCTTACAGACTCATAGGAGAAATTTGAATGATAAAAAGGTAATCTCTAATGTCATTACAGTTTTCATATTTGAATTGGTTGTATACTGAACACATGCATTTAATATTTCCTTCTCCACAGAAGCTGAGATTCCGTAGTAGTGACTTTATTAGGCAATCATTCAACTTTTAAAATACAAAGTAAGTTAAGTACAGGAAACGCTATTGTGAAGTTATGGATGAAAAGATACATTTCAGCATCCACTCAGCAGTACATGCAGGTTACTGCAGAGAAGGGCAGAGCTATGTGAAGTTGGGTTTCAGGTCTTCTTTCTGACATTTTAACATTTCAGTTACAAAGCTCTGTTAATGTCAGTTTTTGAAGGAATATATGAAGTTTCATATTCTGCTGAGCATTTCAGCAGACGTGCTTTCCAGAACAAAGCAGAACATATACTTACTTTCAGAATATACACAAATATGAAACACAAAGCCAACAAAAAACTTCTAGCTCTCCATTTTTCTTAATTACATATTGTAAAGTAAGCATATATCTGCATGTTTTCATAGCTCTTCAGAAATGTGCTCAGTGCGAGGTAATTCTGCAGTAGATGTGAGAAGATACAGATAGGTATTGTCCTCTGAAAGGGACATTTGCCTGATGAAAGATCTAAATATTTTCCTAATCCTGATATTGATTTCTTCTGTGGCTTTTGAGAAATCATTTCTCTTTTCATTAGGAACTCTTTTCTCCTGTGTAGTGTCTTTCCAGGGACAGAGAAAGATCTGTGCATAACAGCACTAAAATATTTTTGCACTGGAGTGCTTCCAGTATTGTGGCAAGAAGCAATTGGTATCAGTTGATTTTTTTTTTTTTTTAAGGGTTCTTTGTCTTTTGGCAGTGTTATTTCCTACTTGTGTTCTCCTTCCTTTCTTTCATCTGTGAACTTTTCTTATTTTAAAACTCAGCACATTCAAGGGAAAAAAAGAGAAAAAAACTTATCAAAAAATTAATATCACCTTACTTTTAAATACAGGACAAATCAATACCTAGAGAAATTAATGGCTGTAAAGTATGCCATGCAAATAACCAGGCATTGCAACAAACAGGAATTACACTAATCACAAGATCTTCTCCTAAGAAAGTGCTCCCAGCTTGCTTTGTCATGCTGACATTCTCGTTGAACTATTGTAGGAGAACAAAGATTTTGTTCTGTTTAAACCTTCTCCTTGAATGGCAAAGGTATGCTTAAGGCACTAATCCAGCTGGATAACAATTGCAAGCTCCATAACCAATAGCACATGACAGAGCATGCTGAGAGATACACACCTTGGGTCTGTTCTAGGCATCAATCCAAGGCTCTGTGCTGTAACTGCAGAAAAAATACTGAACCTACAGCCTTTAGGAAGCCCTTAAAAATCTTATATATAGCATATGGTTATGAGGACTTGGCTAATCTTGACTGGAAGAAGGGGATTGAAATAAAAAATGCAAATCCTTTTTGCGATACCCATTGAACATCCTACTTCCATAGTGGAAGTTCAGCCATGTTGAAAGAAGACTGCAAAAATAGCTTTAAAAATATCAGTAACAGTCATATGAAGAAAGATATTTTAATGGAAGAAAAATTTAGGTAGCATTTATGTGTTATTTTCTCCTTTTAGTCCAGTTGATTAAATTTATTTTGGTGAAGGCTAAGATCTGATCCAACTGCCAATGACTTTAATGAAAAGCTTTTGTTGATTTTGTTTGTAGAGCCTGTGTCCATATAGAGTCCAAAATGGAAACCTTTTGGTATTCTACTTGTGGAAGTGTGGGGAAAAAAAAAAAAAGGAGAGAAATTAAGAAGTTCAGTACAGGATAACCAACACATACTGCTTAAGACACTCAGCTGGCTATTGAGGAATGCACATTTTAACCTGACTGAGGCTAAAAAAAACTTGGATTCTTGGAACTCTTTCAGCTAACATCTCTAATAATCATTGGATCTATTCTTCATTGTTTTGGACCACAAGTCTGGTTTGCCCTTTTCTGTTTCCAATATGTACAGGTAGTATGCATCAGAAGTGTCTGAAACATGAGGTTTTTGCCAAAAGAAGACAATATAGCTTTAGCATCTCTAGACACTGAATGAGGAGTGAATCAAAATTGGGACACCAATGACTCATGCTTGTCAGCATACCTCTCTTTCCCTATCTATTAAGATTCCTTAAATTTTGACCCAATATAAGCCTTGGAGAAGAAATACACATCACATAAGCTCAGTGGAGAACTTGTTAATTTTTGGTTGTGTAATCTGCCAAAGATTCAGTCTGCTTTGAGAAAGCTTCAGCCCCTATCAACTTCTGTGCATTAACTGGATTGGACTGTTCCTACAGACACGGAGCAGGCTCCATGCTAAAATTCAGAGGCCCCAAAAAATTTTCCCTGCCTTTTTTCTGCTTTTGCCAAAGGATGTATGTTAAAATAAAACAAAGCAAAGCCGCATGAATACAGGCCAGAAGCAGTACAAAAATTATTGATAATCAGTAGAACACAATCTGCTGGATAACCTGGAACTCAGCGTAAAGTTACTCACTCTTTGGCAAGGAAACAAATAATTGAAACCAATGACAAGCTGCAGTAATAGTCTACATAAAAGGTAACAGCTTTGTGTTGCTACAACTTCTTGCCTTGGTGCAGACTGAGAGAAAAATGATGTGAGTAGCAGCACCACCAGTGGGCAGATTTTAAATACATTTATATACTGCTATATTTATTCTGCTAAAATAATGATAATTTACAAAAATCTGCTTTTCAAAAGCTAGAAAATGAAAGGTTGCTTTTGCCCTCTCTACCCCAATCTATACCATAGATCATGAGGTAGTCTTTTATTTACATAAGCACCCGTGATTTTTTCTGCAGACCTCCATGGAATGTGAGAAACAAGAAACATTTCTAAGAGCTCAGTGTGTAATTGCACCCAACATCTACTGCTCACTGCTCTTAATATTGCCTTCGATGCAGTATTGATTACTCAGAAGCCAAAAGCTTTAATACCACAACCACCACCAGGTCTATTCACCGGTTCAGTCTGAAAGAGGCAATTAAGAGAGATACAAAGGAGATGGAGGCAAAAATGGGCTTGCTTACCCATAAACAGTTTTGTTGCATGCTTATATAAGTCTGGAGTATTTCATCATAGGAGGAAACTGCATATGATTTCATCTACACTATATGACTGTTCAGTTTACTCTGGGCCAACCTAAAACATGAGGGAAGATCTAAAGAGCTCAAATGAATGAGATGCTGTATTCATTCATGTGACTTCTTTGCTGAGGAGACAACCTCTAATGGTAAAAAAGGCAGTGCTGCACCATTATACCTACCATATACTTTAATATTTTTTTTATTTGTGTATTGAAATCAGGCAAGAGAGAGCTATGCTAAACAGTTGTGTCAGTTTTTTTCTTTTGATTCTATTAGTTTAGCTTCAGGGTCAGGTTCATGTTTTGTGATATTTCCAGAATAACATAATCCTAAGACATCACTGCACATCTGTAATGCTGTTTAGAAGACTAAAGAGAGAGAGAGATAAAACACAAGTTATTTGAAAAATAACCTGTATTTACTGAATTTCAAATAAGTATTTGAATTACTTTGTCAAATTAAAGTACTGCCATATTACTTATCTCCCTTTCCAGGTGCAAGAAGTAGTGTTCACTAATATTTTGCAGGATAAAATTAAGGAGTACAATGTATAGTATTTCTTGCAAAAGGAAAAAATATTTACAGGATAATGGTGTAGCACAAATCTTTTGAAAAGCAATATCAGCTTCTGTCTCTCATAGTGTGCTGCTGCTTAATAGTAGATAGTTCTATACTGCTGATATAGGGAAGTGAATTTTATGTAAATGCACTAATATAATGGGATTTCTTAATCCTGACTGGTGGAAGAAGCTTTTCAAGCATATTTGCTAAAGTCATAGTCAATGTCATTAGTCATAGTCAGTGACATGACAGACAGCATTTCTGTAAGAAAAAGAAAATGAAAGATACAGTTTCAGTGCTATAAAAACTAGTTGCACTATTTCAAACTAATTCTGAAAACAAATTGTGAGGCTCTGCAGAATTTTATACATATCATAAATGTTGAAATAATTTTGTTTTGTCACTATATCCCAAATACAAAATTGGTCCGAACAGAATCCTTTCTTTTAATGTGTTAAAATAAATAAATAATAGTGGTAATTAGAAAAAACAAACCAAAAGCGGAAAAACCAAACAACAACAACAACAACTCCCCTGAACAAACAAACAAAAAAACTTGAAAGGGAAAAAAAACACAGTAAAATGTGTTAAGAATTTTAAGAATTTTTCTAGGTTATTAGTGTTTTGGTGAGAAAACCTGCATATGACTGAAAAAAAGAAATATTTCTATGATCATTCAGTTTTAAAAACAGGTTTATCTGATGGTTTTGATTTTTACTTTATTGTGGTCTTATGCATCTTGCTTGAAGCATTTCCCTTGGTATCAGCATCTGTAATGTTCTCCTCAAGTATATTCTCTGGTACCTAATAGTATAGTTGCACCACCTTTTCAGACTTTGCATCAGTTGCAACAACAATATCAGTCAGATACTTATTCAGATACATATTCTCACAAACATTAGTTTTCTTTCAAATTTGGTTGGGCCTGGCTAGGGATTCACACTGATACTGTGCCTGTGAGCATTCAAAATTCCCACCAATGTTTTTTACCCACCATGTGATGTGATGAGCACACACCTCTGTCTCCTGACAATGCAGAGGTAACAGGTGGCTGCTGACATCTAGTTGATGGCATGGGGGTGAGAAGTAAGAAAAAAAATTCCTATGCTAGAAAATATATAAGTTGTTAATGTAAGAATGGGAGAATAATATAGACATGGTGTATATAATCTTTCTGCAATAAAAGCTAATAGTATGACAGGTTTCTAAGGGTAAATGGGATTTAGCTATTAACAAAGGAGAAGTTTCAGAAGCACCAGATCAACCAGATACTGGGCCTGTATTTTCAAACAAACCAAATTTGACCTCTGGTTTTGTATTCATGTGGACACTTAAATGATGATCCAGAATGAGGTAACCCTTGGATAAGGTGCTGGGATTTTGAAGCGTACATAGTGGAAAAAAATGGGCATACTGGTTTTAAAGCAGAACTTGGCATGTGCAATGAAGATTCTATGTACATGATTTTGAAAATTTAGCTGTGTAGTGAAATAGCCTACAGATTAATGACATAAATAGGGAAATTATGCTGCTTTTGAACATATGGAAGACTTTACCTTATATTTTAAAAATGTTAATAAGTTTAGTTTAAGATCATTCAGATGTGTCTTTCTAACTGTTGCAGTGAATCTGACTTGTTACAGCAGATATTCTCCTGGCAAAATTATATCAAGCAAGTTTGCCAGTAGGTAGCTCTGCAAACATCCTGAAGCTCCCAACTTCTAGAAAATGTAGACAGCTCTCCCTGAAACATCAGTGAAAGGGTACTGTCTCATCAAACAGGGTGCATTCAAAGGAACCAGGAGTCTACCTGTGTTTCTGGTACTTTTTGTATTGTTTTTCATATATACATATCCTCCTTTTTTTATCCTGACATTTTTGCATGATGGCTCATTGTTTTTAAGCTTATTCCCCTAGAAGATGAATGATCCAGGAGTGTGGAACAGCGGGACATGCCAAGATATAAATGAATAGAGCATGGTTTTACATGAAAGGGCTTCTGCCAGGTTTTCTACTGAAGTGTGCAAATTTAAATCTGTGGATCAATGCCCTGCTCTCTGCACACTCACTATTGGGTCACAACATACTGACAGTGACAAACTCCTGAGCGGACAAGCCCACTTAAAAATACTGTATGGAGGCACTCAGCAATAAAGGACAATTGCCTTCACAGCCAAGAACTACCAAGGACTTTTGAAGACTGATGACCAATATGGAATATCATTTTACATACATACTATACATCCTAATGCTGTTGCCATGCTGAATTGCCAAAATTGTCTCTGGTACAGGGAGTGATGTAACATTAGTTTTGCCCTCCACTATAGTTTCTGTAGAATTATTCCCAGCAAGATTAATTTGTGTGAGCTCCTCCACTGCAGTTAACTTGCTCACAACTAGCTTTAACTCTTCAAGATATTGTATACATATATCTGACATTGGAAAGCTTATAGCAGCTGGCATCACATTGGCAGTTTCCTCAGCAATATCAAAATATTCAAGCTGCATGATGCAATTACCAGAAGCAGTGGGAGAATATTTTATTTCTTCAGTCTCAGGCTTTTTTATGGTCTTTTAGCCAGTGGCTCACTGTTATGTCATTCACTTCATGAAGGACAACACTGTTATATGGATGGCTTACTTCTAAATTTTCTTCGAGGAAAAACATCCATAGCTGTAAATTCTCTAACCATCTGACTGATAATCTGTTTCTCCATGCTATATGCAGAAGAGAACTGATGGTTGTAGAGCTGCTTTAAGATGAGTCATTACTTGTTTACTTTTGCTTTAATAGTTTTGCCCAAATTTCACTGTTTATATCTACTGCTCAGTTACAGATTCTTGCCTAGTTTTCCTGATGTTCTTAATTTTAAATCTCTTCCAGCATTACAGCTCTCCAGATTTTTACCTGTTACCATCTGTTGATTTTTTACCCAAATATTATTCATCTGTTTTCTAAATGGAATCTCATTGCAATATTCTGCCTGTGTTTCTAATCTTCCCATGAACCCTTGAATTATTTCTCCATTTTCAGCAGCGTGCTCAGCTCCTCCTAGTTTAATAGATCTGCAGATTTCATTAATGTACCATTTACTCCCTCTTCTAGCTCATTATTGAAGCTATTAAATGAGATCAGAAGTAATACTAATCTTTGTGTACTGAACTAAATGCGTCCCTTCAAAGTTATTGTTTATCATTACCCTTCATTGTTTGTCATCACCCTTCATTTCAGTCAACATGATAGTTCATTTCCAATTTGATTTAAGTTTGGGAACAGAATTTTGACACATTGGAGATGGGAGAAGAAAGGCTAATCAGCAATCCAGCAGAGGCTTCTAATTAAGGCTCAATTTAGAGGATGAAAGTTAGGAGTCCTCTGCTGCAGCCACAGTGGAAGGTGGAAACTGTCTCCATAACTTAACTGAGAGCACCTTAAGCTCAGTGCTAAAATATCCTAAAGAAAACAGTATACTGCTAAAATTCAGACATATGACAGTATAGCTTCTGCTCTCTATTCATTAATTTTGTATTATTATTAAAAAATCAAGTTTGTCTGGCAGACTTCAAAGTGTTTTAGTAAATTTTTTTTCTCAATAGCAACTCCATTATGTTGCCAGGGAGGGAAGCTAAATTTATGAGTAGCAATTACAAAGAGAACTCTCAGAAGATATGAACTTCTATCTTTGGTCGTTTCAGAGACATACAGTCTTGCTTCCAAAGAAGCTATATCTTTCTACCATTCCTTGCACAGTGTAAAATTTCAGGAACAAGATTTTAATTTTCACCACCCCTTTAAAGTTCAATTTCTAAACTCTGTATTAAATATTATTAAACATATTTATGATACCTCATTAGGAAACATCAATTCAGTGAGGAAAATCTCCTTTTCTCAAGATGCAATTCCTCTGATAATAATTAACCCCCATGACTTATAATCCAACACAAAGCCTGTTCATCTTTCAACTTAATAAAATATCTAGCATTTTGTAAAGTGAGTTTGCCAACCCTTAGCATCAGGGCCAATTACTCCTACTCTTCATTGAAGTGCCAAAAAAATCTTTGTCCAAATACATTTGGATACTCAGGAACTGCTTGTTTTTTTATTATGAGTACTTGGTTTGAGCTCATTTGGTTACATATAGTCTGTGTCAGTGCAAATGTGAAGGCCTTAAACTTAGTCTGGAAAAACATTGACTCTAGATAGAACTTACAGGTCTCATAGTTTTATACATACATATCATGAACGAAATGATGGGAAAGTGAATATTGAAATGGAGGTTGGGGCCAGGGTATTTGTTGGATGTAGGGAAAATAGTCAGAAAGTCAGTGCGTCCTAGAGGCCATCACATGCAGTGGGTCTAATGGAAATATAATTGCAAGTCCCTCTACTGCAATAAGGAGCAGGTTCATGAATTTAGAAATACAATCAGAAATGGGATCACAAATGTAGAAATTAGGTTGCCAGAAAAGTTTGAGCTTAGTTGCTATAAGTGCAGCTTCTCTGAATTTTGAAGCTGTGCATCTTTCAGTATCTGTCTACTTATCTGACATAACCTGCTATCTCATTACTGTGAATCTGCCTTAACCTCTGAGGCAAATTTTGTTCACTCTTCCCCAGACTGCTTATGGAATATTTTCCTCCTACTCAATCTCTCCTAAAGCCCATCTCTGTCTCTGTTGATTCCTGATAGGGAATCAGCAGTGACACTTTTTAGCCTTGTTTTTGTGGTTAAGCATTTTTATAAAACTTTTTATTGGATTTTTATTGCTACTATCTCCTTTCTGCCCCTCTCCCCCCTATTATTGAGTTACATGTTTATTATATCTATTGTGAAATTGAATTGTATTATTCTCTGGGAAAAGATTTAATGTCCCATTTTCAAAGGTGCCTAGTAACATTTAATGATGTAAAAAATAAGCATTATTATTCTGGTTCATTAATGCTTATTAATCATGATTTAAGGTGTCCCTGATGAGTTTTATTGTAAACTGTCCTTACCTTGCACATGAAAGCCTGAGGAGGCTGATTCAACCAGAAAACATTAGCTAGTTCATTGCATTGATTTTTGGTTGTCTGTATAATACATGTGAGGGATATGTATGTTTGTCTAGACCACGTGTATGTTTGTCTAGACCATGTGTCAGCATGTGTTTTAGGAATAAGTTAGTAAGTTGTACCTCATTTCCCCCTTTGTTCCTTTGTATTCAAGATGCTTTTACCTTTCCTTTGAAAGACACTTGAGGAAATACTTGCCTGCTGTGAAAGCCCGATTTATTTTGCATTACATCTGCACTGTCTGGTTCTGCAATGTGCATTTTGGAATTAAATCAGCTTCTCTGCATCTGCACAAAGGATTTTTTTTGCTAAGAAGTTGACTCTTTTATTGTGTGCATTTCTGGCAAAAGTATGTGCATTGACTTAAACAGTGGCTTTTCTGTGTATGTTAAGGTTTATTTTTTTCACTATCAAAGAAAGTGTCAGTTACATGTAAAATGCTTTGCAGAAGTAGGTCCTCACCCAGAAAGATTTCAAAATCAAGAATGTGCAAGTGGAGTAAAGAATAAAAAATACTACTGGTCATACATTACAGCCTAGCAGTCCAGTATGTGCAGATACTGACCTTGGCAAAAGCAGTGTGAATGTAGCGGTATAATAAACGCGGGAAAGCTCCAGTAAGTTAAAAAAATAAAATAAATAAATAATTGCAGTAGTGCCATCTAGTGTGCCAGGTGTTGCCGTTTTCTGGGAGGGGACAGTAAGCTACTTTCAACCCATCTCACTTGTTACCTGACTCTCCTCCTGCTGCTGCTCTCTTTTCAGCCTGCTGACAGGAGAGCAGTAACAGCATTGACAGAAGGTAGAGGAAGAGACCTGAGGGCTGTTTTGCAGATGCTGATTCTGGCACACATGCCATAAGGTTGTCATTGCTGCTCTAAAAAAATGAGCATCCACGGGGTTTTAAAGAAGGAGAAAGATGGCTTTTCTGTCTGTACTCCCATACAAATCTTGCTCTTTTACTCATTGGTTTCCTCTACGAAACATGTAATGGCTAAAACATCCTTTCTCAGCCACTGCAGGCAAGTTTTTTTGGTGTTGGGAAAGAAAAGAAAAATAATTTTGATGCCAGAAAAGAAGAAGGGTTGCTGGATTTTGAAGCTTACTGGAAGAGGAGGAAATTATGTTTTGCCTGGTGACTAAAGGAATTATGTTGAGTAGAGGGTCCGCAAAGTCCTCTGTATGGGAGGTGGGAGGTGAGAGCGAAGGGAAAGGAAACAGGGTTCTGTTCTGTGTACTAATGCTTTGTACTAGGAGGAGCCCTTTTACCGTGACCACCCTGAGCTTTTCCACTGCTGCCTTTTCCACTTTCACTAATAACTCACTGAACCTCTCTGCTTTAATCCTGAGATACGCAAAGTGCATGGCTTACCCTTCAGTGTGTGAAGCTGCACAGGGTTTATTTTTGTCTTCAGTTTAGAATCTGCTAGTAACAAGTGGAAGAGCGATCAAGCCAGAAAGCGTTGTCTGCAAAAGAAGATGGCATCTCCACAGCACACATAATGCTGTGTATTCACCTGTCCTCTGCAACTGGTGCCAGAGGATATTGCTTTTCCAGTTGGATTTGCTTGGGTTGCAGCTACAGCAGCATATCAAATTGAAGGTGTCAATTTTTAGCTGTCAAAGTGTTAAGGAAGTTTCAAGTGAATGAAAAGTCTGGATCCAGGAAGGAGAGTGTTTGATCTTTGCCTTGTTATGTAGACACTACATCTGATGCAAATCAAGTAGCACTTCTATTTAAACATTTCTGACTTGAGCAGTAAGAAGAGTGTAAAGGATGTTTCAAATCTCAGAAATGTAGCTAGGTAATGGAAATGAATGAGGAACCCTTCACTAGCTATTGAAAGTGGGGTGGAAAAGAGCAGATATAAGTAATATTTCAAGTATTTCTTGCATAGTTCCTTTCTGTAGAGCTAATTATGTAAACACAGGGACATTCACAGCCACAACCCCTCCAAACTTTATCCTAGGTTCCTATTGGCTATTCTGAGACTGGACAGGAGGATTGCCTCGTCAGACATTGGTACTCACAAGAACTCTTTGGTTAGAAATTAATCTCCAAAGATTATAAAAAACAATGAACTGAGAGGTTAACAGTTGGATCTGTGAAGATTATCCCCCAGGGACATGTGTCATGTTCCCAACTGAATAGAGGGGCTGATAAAGTGATTTGTCAAACACAATATGAAAAGGTGCTGCAGGTTAGGGAATGGAAACACATAAATATGTAAACACAGGGACATTCACAGCCACAACCCCTCCAAACTTTATCCTTTCATAAATGTGTCTTTAGAAATCTTCAAAATACATATAGACCTGGTTTTCTCATGCCCTGCAGCATTCAGGCACTTAAATCCCATTGATTTCCGTACCTAAATGGAAGTTGTAGATTCTAAATTGTCTTTGAGGATGTAGCCTTTAGTTCTTGGTTATTGCTGAAATTGAGAGCACTTGCCCATGCTCGGTACCTTTTAACGAGCTCAGTTCACTTCACCTAATAGACTGCACAGCTCGCTGTTCCCAGGAAATCAATATTCTGGGCCAGATTCTAACTGGAGTCCTGCAATTCACACAGCTCTACTAACTAATTTTTAAAATGTGAATTGTGTGTGCATATAGAATGACATTATAATTTCCTGCCTTTTGAGTGTCTAGATGTGCAACTTTAATGTTCTCTTAATGTATTTTTAATGAGCTTTCTTAAGGCTTCTGAGTGGGAAAAACGTAAAAAAAAAAAAAAAATCTATAATATGGTCTAGACACTACTCAAATGACCCTTTTCTTGCAGAAGTAAGAAACTCAACAGGGAATTCCTTCTCCTGAAAGCTTTGGAGGCTGTGCAGCTTCCAACTTAGAGGCAGCATGATTGAAGCAATAGTTCTTGTAGAGTCCAAACTCGGTTGCTGCACATATCACAAGATACACAGTGGATGAGGCAAGGGCTGACAGGCTACTTTATTTTTTACTGTCAGCTATGTATTTATGCACAGCACAACCTTCTCCACTCTGTATATTTCAAAGCGCTAAAAAATCATACCAATTGTACTCTGCATGCTCAAAGTGCAGATTTCAAAGGTTCATGACTCAGTCAAATCAAAATCAATTTGCACCAGAACACTCAAAAGCACTTCTTCTTACTGAGGGCCATTTCTATGCTAAATTTCAGCTCTCTGCTTGATTTTTTTTTTTTTTTGAGAGGGAAAAGTTGCAAGAAATTCTTGTAATGTTAAAAGTGGTTTTCTTCACTTCTGTCATATGCCAAATAGTCAAACTGCATTAACAAAATTTCACTTTTTGGTTAGAGACCAGGCCAAGAAAACTTCACTCCAAGAGGTGAAAGTACAATTGAATTAGAAGGAAGTGTACTTGAAAAAGTGCATGAAAACTTACACACTCTGATCAGTAATATTCCTGCTTTACTAGCATTTAAATGGAAAAGCATTCTATTTTGTTCTGTTGTAATAATTGCAGAGAATGGGGAACATGTATCATAATAACTTATATTATTAATTTGATGACATTTCATGTGCTGATTTGGTATCTAAGTCTCACCTAAGTGTTTTAAATGTAAAATCAGTTCCTTTTCACTGTTCTTTTCTGGCCCCAAAGCACACTAAAACTCTGGTTATGTCTACACTATGAAGTGCTGTGTAGCGTGGAGGTTTCTGAGCATGCTTAGAGGTGCAAGCTTGGTTCATTGAAGTGGAGAGAGCTTTGTGCAGACTAATTGAGGCTCAGCAAGATGTGTTAGTGTAGGTAGAGCTTTCTGTTGCCTTGGCTGAATTCCTTCCTACTCTTTATTTAGGTAGCTCAGATACTCAGGGCTGTACATAGAGGCTCTTCAAACAGTATGAGGAACTCTTGAAAGTGGGTCTATTTGCTACAGCCCCAGTCAGGTCTTTGTAGTGGCTAATGACCACTGGAGCAGTACTGTATACTCCGCTGAAAAATGCCTTTCCCCCCTCCCTCCCATCTCCTTTGCTGGAGGAAGGCAGGCAGGTACAAAGAAATCATTGAGCATCTGCTCTAGATGATGGTTCTTAAATGAAGCTGTGTTAGCTGTCCATTATGGCAGCTTTTGGCTTTCCTTAACTCCAACAATAGTGAAAAAAAAGAGCTGTATCATATTGATATGGTGCAGAAAGCCTGCTCTTAGAGGCTTCTAAATTCTAGGTACCACCAAAGAATTACTGTTATTTGTTATTTCCTGCACTTCTCTCAAATGACTATTTATTTCAGTAGTCATGTTTGAAGTCAGATGCAGGATATAGAAAACTTTTAGTACTGTATTTTTCCAAGGAGCATACAGGAGAACACAAAGTCTGTGACAAATTCTGAGATTAAGAGAAACTCAAACTGTCTGGATCTAAAATGTGACCTACTTTGAAGGTTGTCCCATGTAAAATTTAATTTACTGACCAACCAAATATAGATGTATCCGTGCTCGTGTGCTGCAATAAAATTATGTAAAGATCATGAAATGTGACAATGATCTTTGAAAAGCTAGGATATAGAAATGATATTACAGATTTTAGTAACGATTTAAATTAAGTGTCTTCAATATACTTAACCTTGCATTAAACTTAGATTTAATAAGACAGATGTGTATTAAGTACTGAATATACTTAAGGGAGCAATCTTGCGTTGGCAGGGGATGGACTCAATGACCTCCTAATGGTTCTCCTCCATCTCTAATTTCTATGATACTAATTGATTATTAAAACACTTTTATTGAGGATTGATATGTAGCTATTATATAGGTATTAATCTTACAACCCAACTGATATTTAATTCATGCATAATTTTAACACACAGTGTCATTTTAGTTTTTAAAGAGTAATCTGGAACCATGCATTCACTGGGACTCTGAAAAATCTTGGTGGTAAATGAGGTTGATAATTTTGAGGTTAATTGCGATTTTATGATTAAAACGCACTTTGCAGAGGTTTACAGAGTAAACAGTAAGTTTACAGAACTCTCCACATAAAAAAAATGAAATATTTGTCTTATCTACAGCATTGCTCTGGAAAGACAAAGAAACTTGCAATGAAAAAAGGTGCATTTATTTGGATTAAATACTATATGTTGTTAAATGTCAGACAACAACTAAATTTTGAATATTTTAAAGGTAATCCATCTATTTCAATTTTGGAATTGTGAAGAAATTTCCCAAAACTCTGAAAGTTTAGGGAAAATGGTGCAGTGGTTTTGAGCATTCAAAAATCATTTATGTGAATGTCTGGCTAAACAAAAAGCAGAAGTTTTGCAGAGCCGTGTTATTAATTCAGCTTGTATATGCCTAGGGCCATGGCTCATAATGGCATTCCTTTCTTTTTAACAAACTGTCAAGCTTTTCAAAGGACATCCCGAAAGCCATAAGTGCCTATTTGTTGGATGTATTTCTCATACCCTAAAGGCTTTCTTTGATACAGACTGATCTTTTACATTTATGGATGGAAGTTACATTAGAAAATTCCCTTTGTGAAAACTTGTAATATCTTAAGAGTGGCAAACATCTGATTTTTGGCTAAGGAACTATAAAAAGTGTTACAACTCTGAATGTTTTTTAAAACAGGATTTTCAAATATATTAAGCAAAAATATTAATAAATGCAAACCCTAATGCAAATATGTATCAGTGCTTGAAAGTTCCTAGTTACTTTAAATAAAGTAAGGAGTGGGGAGGGAATACTGCTTATTTTGCCCATGGGATTTTTAGGGGTTTGTGCCTACTTTGTGATAAATATTTACATGCAACATATGTCTTTTGATGTCAAAAGTGTAATGACCAAGTTTTGTTCTTCAAGCAGAAGGCTAGAATGCAGATGGAAAGGGCCCTAATGTCTGGGACATATTCACCCATCAGGGAGGAGATCGAGTTTTCAAGAACCAGACTGGTGATGTAGCTTGTGGCAGCTACACTCTGTGGGAGGAAGATTTGAAATGTATCAAACAGCTTGGATTGACTCATTATCGCTTTTCTCTTTCCTGGTCACGTCTGTTACCTGATGGGACGACAGGTTTCATCAACCAGAAAGGCAATTGTTTCTTAAAAATAGAAGGTTGCAGCTTTAATTCAAGGTTATTGCTGCAGTCTGGCATAATTAATCCAGTATGCTATTCTGCAGTGTAGCTTTGAAATTGCAACTTTTTTTCAGAGTAATTATGGGATGATTTTTTATAGGTTTGCAACAACTTACTAATTAATATTGTAGATCCCCTTGGATAGCACAATCTTTTGGGATAGGATTATTATTATGTTTCCTATGTATCTTTTTGCTTACTCCAGTTTTTTTAATTGTAACTCTAAATCATTTTGCTTCATCAGAATGTTTATACTTACAGGGATCCTAGCCATGAGAATATTTTTGGATGACTTACAATAGACAAGTTATCTTATTTGGCAAGTGCATTTAGATAGCTTATCAGTATACTCTAATGTACTGAACTTCACATTGATTATTTTGCACTGAGGGACGTACTTTTCACAGACATTTTTCTTCAGCAAATTAGAGAGGATTCTTCATGCTCAGATACGAACTTAGTTCTCTGACAAACAGAAGCCAGACTCTGCTCTGAAGAGTTCTCACAATCTCAGCAGGCAGTGTAAATATGAAAAGGGATACGGCCCATAAATAAGCCAGTCAGATTGCTAGAAAATTGGTTTCACTTCTGATTCATTTATTTTAATTCCATTGGTGTGGACTGGGGGAGAGATTAAGGTCACTCACTAGGAAAAGATAGGAAAGGCCAGTTGTTCCTACAAAACACAGGGAATGGAAGAAAGAAGAAATAAAGAGAATCTGAAGAATAAAAGCAACTGAAGCTGAACCAGTTAGGATGTGAGAATCAAAGTAGTTGGCTGAGGTCTCCTGTATGCTGGGAGGATAATGTTCCAAGGAGAAAAAAAGCAAAGTATATTTGGATGAACCTCTGAATCTCACTCCTGCCTCCTACTCTTCTGCATCTCAGTTCTACCAAGAAGATATATATCATCATACTTCTAGGGTAGTATTTGGATAGGAAATTCTTTTCCTGTTTTGAAGATTGCAAGGATGGAAGGCTACAAGGCATAGGACTTCTTAGCAAATGTTCTTTAGGTTATCCTTATCTGTACTAGGTTGATACTAGCAGAAGCAATATTTTCCTCCAAAATTTTGGTCATGTAGAGCTTGGCTGTTCAGTAGAAAGCAGCCTATCCTCTGCATCCTGCAGATTAAGGTTTTCACCAGAGAGTGGAGGAGTCTTTGTTTCAACATTTCAGAAAGGGAGGCTGGTAAATCTGCTGTAAACAGACCAACCAGCCATTTTTCCCTGCAGAGCCTGATTGCAAAAACCGTGCCAGTATCCCAGAGAGGCTTGAATGGAAACCTTTTCTTTGCCATCAAAATTTACAATATGTGGCCTGCTTTCACTGGCATAGCTTGCTTTTCCCTGGGAACACTTTTTGTGGTGTGTTGAAGTTAAATTTGGCTGAGTCGCTGTGGTTTCTTTGCTGTGCTGATATTCCTTCAGCTGGGGCTGCAGGCACTGTAAAACCCCACCAAGCTCCCGACTGAATGGGCTTTGTTACTTAGTTGTCAGAGTGGGAGATAGCAAGCAGACATTCTGTATGCACTTCGTAAGGAAAGCTAACATTTTGACAAAACTCAGCTTTAATTTCAGAAAACGTTCGCTTGATCCCCAGTATAAGCAGTTGCCTGATTAATATTATGAACTTTACATTTAACGAAAAGGCATTGGCGGAACTCCAAGTAGGCCAGCTTTCATTAGGCAGGAGTTCACTTCTCTTGTGCAGTGATCTGTTGAAGCAATTGTAACTGCATAGCATGGAAAGGCCATCATCTCCTATATAAACATTTTTACAAAGAGCATGTGAAAAATTAGAAAGCTTAAAGCTATGTCCTTTCAAATAAAATCATTCACACCAACTGAATCACTACCAATTTCACACCTAAGATGTAGGACATTTGAAAACCTTTAAAACCACTGTTCCTAAGTTAGTGGAGGTAAGGTCTTTTAAAAGAGTGATCTTGTAGATGTATTGTTCCTAAGGCATGTCAGGTTTTAGGTTCAAGCTTACACCAAGTTTTAAAAGTATTTCTGTACAATTACTGCTACCCTAAAAGGTGCTCTGTGCAGAACAAGTGAGCTGCTAAACATTAGAGGTTGGTGCAGAAAAAGACAGGTGTTGTAGACATGGGGGTATTGAATCTGTGAGAATTTGATGTTATGCCTCACTTCAGCATGAAGGTGGGGAATCAGGATGGGGAGAGAAGATGACAGAAAGGAGAAAAGAACATCCTTCACTTTCCAGTGACAAAGTGGTCCTTAATATCTCTAATCCCCAAATTTTGCAATATCTCCACAAAACCATTATAAATACACTTTCTCTGAAAAATGTTTTCTTCTGTATTTCTACTTCTGCCTGACCTGCAGATACAGCCAGAGAAACTAAATCAGCCTACTCTGGAAGGTATGAGACAATCTGGAAAATTGACTTGACATTCACATTTTTCAGAGATGCAGTTCTATTTCTCTTCATTTCCTATCAAAAAGCATAAATCTTCTTCAATATTGGTGTTTAATTGAGATGTAAAAAATAAATGATAGCTGGTTGCACTTAAATGTTATAAATTGTACTGTATAATTTATAATCTGAAAATTAGAATGAGAAATGCTAGTGTCCTCTAGGTAAGCACTCCTCTCAATATGGTAGAAGAGGATCCTGTACCAGCAAAGGATTTCTTTTTTACAGTTTAAGTTTATGTAGTCAAATGTGTAGTCCCACTAGCAAAGAGTTAACACACATCTAGTCCCACTGAAGTCAAACGGGTTCCCATTCAAAAACTACAGTAAGAAAATGTATTTGCTGCTATTCAAAAGCTGCTCCCATTCAAAAGCTACAGTAAGAAAATGTATTTGCTCTTGCAAATGGTAAGAATTTGCTTTTCAAAATTTAGAATTCTGGTATATTCCTTTCTCTTTACATGGGTGTGTGCTCAGGCACAAGCACATATTTCCTCAAAAGTTTTTTGGTGCTGCATTCAAAAGGAAAAGCAAACTACCTGTGAGATTTATTGTGAATTACTTTGTAAACAATCTTATTGAGTCTTGCTGTGCTGAGGGATGTGTATGCACTTGTTTGTTTAGGACAAGGCACTGTCTAAATCTGGTGTTCATAACTGATTGCTGTTTGGCAGAAGCTATTTGGCAGAAATCCTTAAGATCAATCATTTGAAGTAGGGTTAAGTTGAAGTCCAATATATCCTTTTAGGAAGAAAGTAGTATGGTGTTCTGCGTTGGCATTTTTAAACATCAATACACAGTAAACTGAACTTGAAAATACCAGGAAATATATAGTAAAAGTATAGAACAAGTTTTCTGCTTTGGATTATACAAATTTTTGGTTCAGAAACTGTTAAGAATAATGATCTAAGCCATACCTAACCTCCTAAACATGTATTTTATTAACTTCCAACTTAGTCCTCCTCCTTCTCCTTTCTGCTGTGCTTTTACTTCTGTAGACCTTTCTCAGTTCTGTGTTTCAGTACAGCAAGACCTTGGGATACATATTTCATAAGCACCTATGACTTATTACGATATGTGGTAGTCTAAGACCCACAAAAATATTATGAATTTTAGGTTTCTGAGGTTATTAAACACTTTGGTATATTCAGCCCAAGTCTCTGAAGCAAAGGCTGACTGATTTCTATGTTCCACCAGCATGATAGAGACCTATTCCTGGCTGGAGCCTCTTAGCTTAACAAATAATAATTCAAGGCCACTGTTGGCCTTTTCCAATTACAGCACTAAACCAGATAGTTCAAGTTAAAGAGCAAGCTAATTGATACTCTTTGAACCAGAGCTTATGATGTGTATTTCAATATCTAGTGTTTTCAAAAGGCTTAAAAGCAATAAGTTGTGTTGGGATGTAAGCAAAATCAAAAATGCCTATTTGAGAGCTTAAAGTATCCTGATATTTAAACTTACAGTGACCTCTTAGCAGCATAAAAATAGTCCTTTAGGAAACATATTCATGTCAGCCACTACTAAATCTGAACAGAAGGTGAATTCCTTTTAAGCCTCTAGAAATACATCCCCAGTGCTGGCTAGCTTTAATGACACATCCAGGAAATTAAAGTTGATCTCTGTCTTAGCAAGAGGGGACAAGAAAGGTTGGAAGTCATGAGCTTTCAGAGAGGTGAGCTAAATCCTTCTTGCAGTTAGAGGGACTGAGCAGTCTGCAGCAGTGGCAGTGTAAAAGGATGAGAGATGATTTCTTTGATAAACTATTGCCAAGCCATTCCAGTTGATGGCTAAAGAAACCAGTGCCTGAAACTCCATATAAAATCTAGTAGAACACAATGAAAAGCTTTAATTATCATATAGATCTAATGAGGGAACTTTTGAATTCACATCACTGCAAAACGTTGATTACATGACTGTATCTTTGTCTTAATGCTGGTACAGCAATGGAGAATAGAATATTCTAGAGAAAACAGCTAATCCAGCTAACCAAGTTCAAATTGTAAAAGATCAGCTTAGCTACCTTGCTCAGTGTGGCATTAAACTCTTTAAAAGACACAGTTCTCAAGGAGAGAAATGCTTTCATTAGAACAAATCTACCTACCTGTAATGCACTCAAGCATCAGGCTTTTTCCAACACTCTTGTATCTTGCACATGCAGTCAGGCTGCCATTCAGGCATTTAAATGAAAGGATTATATTTTCATGTGACCAGCACCCATCAGAATTATGTTTCTCTTGGGGAGTTGCTGTCCACTGATCTATTTTGAAAATTTGCATCCTCATTTCATTTTATGTGCCTGGTTGGAAGATTTTGTGTGCAGAGCATTTTTGCCAACTCTGGGGTCTTGTAACTGCAGTCAGCATGCAGTTGAGAGGGAATATTTGCATCTTATAACAGAGAAAATATGCAGTGAGGTTTCTTTAAATTATAAAATGTAATAAAGTTACTATTAACCCTTTTTTGTTTCCTTTAATATTTTCAGGAGTCAATTATTAATGCAAACCCATTAATAACCTGGGAAATGGCATCCTGCTTCCTGTATCACTTTGACTTACCTCTATCCTTAGAAAACAGAGGAGACTGGAGATCTGGAAAGCTCATTGCAGCCATCCATATTCATGTTAATTATTGCTTCAGAACATTTGGAGACTGAGTGATAATTACTAATGGGCCTTATGTTGTTGCTATAGGTCACTGTGAAAAAGGTATAGCCCCAGTATTGGTAGTAGAGCTTACAAAGCAGATTATAAAGTATAAAAATCTCACGCTAAACCCTGATGCAGTTGTGGTAAGGTATTTGGAGAAAAGACTATAGATTTGTTACTATAGCTCTGAACTCAGAATGACAGAACCTGTATGGATTCTGTTGAAGATTTCTGAGGAGCCCATCTGGATGGCATAAGACATTGTATAAGATATAAATAAACAAGTCACCTTGGGATTCATAACTTAATTTTTGCATGTTGCCTATAAAGAGTAGGAACCTTAGTGTTTTCCTATTGCCTTTGTACTTGATAGCAGTTGTACCGTTTGAAACGACACACCACTGTTATGTCATCTTTTGAACTCCAGAAATGATCTTTCTGGTGCCAGCAGTAAGGCTTTCCTGGCATGCACCTACTCCTGGCAATGGGACGTGTGGTGACTGCCAGTACCAAGGGGTTAAGGAGCAGTGACAATAAGCAGATGCTAATGTAGGAAAGATATTTTAGTCTTCTCATTAAAATAAGTCATTTCACTGTCTTCATGGATATTTGCACAGTTTTGCTTTTCCATTGTTAGTCATAAAAGGTCAGTTCATGGAAAATTAAGTTAATAGGGTCAGTGCAATTTGGTGAAAACTAGTTTTAGTTTGTAGCTTAGAAAAGATAGAGGGTAATGCATCTGATTTTATGGGCTTTCTTACATCTGTTCTGAATAAAACTTCTGCTCTTTTGTTCTAGGATACTTACAATAACCCTATAATTTACATCACTGAGAATGGATTTTCCCAAAGTGACCCTGCTCCACTTGATAACAGTCAATGATGGGAGTATTTCAGGCTGATTTTACAGGAAATTTTAAAAGGTGACATTTAAAATTATGAAAGATTAATTGTGCAAACTTAATATAATTTTACTTTGTGCTTATTTTTATTCAGCAATGACCAATGATTCTTGAAGCTAAAACTTATGTAAATCAGAGTAAAGTGATATGATTGGAAAAAATGTTTAGCTGAAAGGAAAGCAAATAGTTTTAATCCTGTTCCCCCTGTCTTCATGTAGAAACAAATGAAAAGGTACTCCACATATACATAATTTCTAAACTCAGTTTTGTAAGGTCAAGTTCTTCATTGAGCAAAGCAACCACATTCAGAAGTGCTTATCATTCATACTTCTCATTGTGAAGGATGTAAAATTGTGGGATCTAAAAACCTGACCTGCATCTCATAATATCCTTACACAATACAACCTCCCCCACACAATGAAGTCTGTGTAACAAATTGTTTCTGTACAGGGCCATTAAGTCATTAGAACTCATCTTCTACCAATGTGGTCAACATTGGTAAAGCTCTGTTTTTATGCTTTACCTATTGTTTTTATATTGGTCCAGTTTCTAACCTTCTAGAAATTCCTTCCTTACCTTCCTTCCATTGGTAGTATTCTCTAAGGTAATTTACAGAAAGTAGATATTCTTACTATGTATCCAAGGAAATGTACTTTAAGATGCCAGTTCATTTCAGATAACAGTATCCCTGTTGTATTTGTCCAAAGTGATCACAAGCATGATTGTCATATATAGTTCAGTAGTTTTTTGTAGCCATTTTTCCATTGTCATGCTTTTTTTTTATTTTAATTTTGCTATTTATATCCTTCATTTTGTCCTTACTTTTTTGTTAAAATGTTCACTTAAAAGCTACCTTTCTGTCTTCCTTTATGTTTAAAGTTGCAATTTACACTTGTCATCCATGCCAATTATATTTTTTTCTACAACTAAGTAGAAGATGCGAAGGACTGTGTTCTGGCACTGAAACCAACTGATAGGGCCTGTTTGTATCTGAAGCAAATGGGCCAGTTACCAGCTGTCTTAGGAGAGCACTTCTGAGGCTGTACCATATCTGGCCCCATGTCTGGAGATTAATAGTTGGCATTGGACAGCAGTTTTATCAAGGAGTTCTTCTTATAATTTTGTGGGCAAGATATCTGGACTTTCTTTGAAGACGTAAAGAAATTAATAAACACTGGATTCTCAATAGTTGATGAAATGGAATTCATTTACCAAACCTAGCTTTTTTACAGTGTTTTACAATGTACAATGGCTTATCCTGAGGTAAACATTTAGGGTAGTTCTGATGAATCCCACTTCGATGCATTTGTTGACTCTGTTCTCTTTATGCATAGTAAGGAATGAAGGGGACTAGCTTGGAGGTAGACGTTTATTGGGAGATCAAGAGTGGAGTAAAATGAAGCTTTACTATTTGTTCAGTCCAACAAAACTTTTAAACATGTATGTGGTCTGACTGTTACTAGTGCAACTTTACACAGGTTTAGTTATATGTGCAGTTCAAAATTAAATTGGATTGATCTTTATAATTTTATTCCCTGAAAAAACATGGTGGAATGCTGGCTGAAACAGGTCCCTTTATGCAAAGATAATATAGCTATTAAATCCATCAGCTGTAAGGCACTCTATGAAGAAATTTCAATAACATTATCCCCATATAACTTCTTTCCTGCTATTCTGTTGTCAGGGCCACTCTGTATGTACTGACCCCATGAGCAACCCATTTCAAGTTTTCAGCTCAGATTGATGCAAAGCAGGATACCCCAAGATGTTCACTTTATTCAGTACCTAAATGCTTAACCATTTATTAAGTGTTACATGAAGCAGAACAGTTTAATTGCTTTGCATTCAATGTCTACTCTACAGTAAGTCCTTATCTTTTGAGCTAACTTTTGAAATTATTAGTACTGGTTCATTCATGCAACAGGCTCTGAGTTATGACAGGGGACTTCAGGGATTCTGTTGAGGGATTTGGATATGTCTACTTATTTTTTTTTACTAACCAAGAAATAAATATGTTTCACTACAAAGGAGAGTATATCTACAGTTTGTTACTGCACTTGTTAATAGAAATATTTTAGTATGTTGTATTGGATTGATAGTATCCCCATTTTATCTTCTTTTTTCTTCGTTAAAAACCTTCCTAGCTTTTAGGATACATGTTTACACTAATTATGTTAATCTTGACAGCCAAAATTTTCAAAATAATAGGGATCTTCCCTTTTCAAGATCTTGCATTTTAGAAAGAGCTATGCTCTACTAGCCTGAAAATCAGATACTTCAACAGCTGTCAAGCTACATGTCCAAAATTTCTAAATGTTTTTACTGTCATCAGGACTATTTAAATTACAAGATCTTGGAGGGCAAGAGCAGTCCTGAGTTGGTACATCATCCTTCACCTAAGACTGTGATCATGTATATGGATAAGTAGTAAAACTTCTGTATGTTACCCCTATGCTGTCACAGAAAATTGAGATTTTTGGTTTTTAGTTAGTTAGCAAGACCAGAAAGAGCAATATAAATACAGAGTAGGAAATAGAGAGCAAAACTCATGCAGCTACTATAAATCACATCATTGCTATTATAGATGGGTACAACTGCTGCCATGTTGCTTCTGTAATATATGAATAGATAAAAGCACCAATATTTTAATAAATGTGGATATACATATTTAGCTCCTCTACAGAGAAATAAGCATGCATGGTGCTTCACAGATAAATGAAAGTGATGTCTTCTTACCCCAAGGAACTGAAAATCTAATTTAGATACAATGCATGAAGAGATGATGAACAAAAAGCTGGATGAGAGGTAAAGAGAGGACATAGGTCAGAGTAGTCAAATGGTTTTTTCTACAGTTGCTCTTCCTTAATTTTATGTAATTTATTTTAAAGATGACATCTAGACCAAAGATCAATGCTGCCAAAAAAAAGTAGTTGAAAGTATTTAGTTTTGAAAAGTGGAATCTTCTAAAAGAGATAATGTAGTTTCATAAAGTCAATGAAGGAGAGCAGTGCAAATATGGGTAAACTATTGCCAGAGGCAGCTGATGGAGAAAAGCAATGAAGGTATTTCATAGTCTGGGTGGTAGAAGATTATTAATAATGCTGATGGGGAGGGAAGAAGGAATTAAATAAGTTTTAGGTTGCAGAGGGCTGCAAGAAGTAGGCACTGGAAGTTAGTAGAAATAGAAAGTAAAGAAGTTGAGGATGATGTGATGTGATATGAGCAGAGGCAAATAAGAGAGAGATGAGCAAGAATAAATGTGAGCAAGCAGGACTAGATTTGGAAGTAAATAGGAAACATATGAACATTTAATTTGGAGTCAGCTAGAAGGTCAGCAGTAAAGGATGCAGGGCAAATAGGAGAAATGATTGTGAGCAGAAAAGGATGGGTAAAGCTTAAGATTCAGATGGTGTTAATTTTCTCCTTAAATATGCTTGAATGAAGCAGAAGAGAAAATGAGATACAGAGAATGCTGACTGCAATGGGAAGTGCAGAGCAGAACTAAAACTGACAGTAAGCAAGGTGGTGCAGTTAAGGAAGATTTTAAAAAATTGAACTTTAAGTTAAATGCAGTCCCTTCTGGATAGCTTTTTGTGTTCTTTTTTCCCTCAGACTTCTTAGAATTGTTATAAAACCTTTTATATATTGTCATCACTGTACACTTTGACCTTGCTCTCATGAACTAACCATTTAGTCTGTGTTGTAGATACATACAAGCCTGCTTTTGCTGCATTCCCATGCACATAAAACAGTGAGATTATAATGCAATACTGTAGTCCATGAAAATATGATTTATTGTTAAATTAAATATGGATGTCATAATGTGAGCCCCTCGGGTCAACTATAAGCTTGAGTGTTATTGAAAGAGCTGCAGCAGCAGCTCTGTTTCTTCATTGCCACTGACAAAAATGCCTCTACAAATAGAATACAACAATGCAGACATATTAAGGAGGCTCTGAGATGTGCTGTCCCTGGCATAACATTGCCATGTGACATTTTCAAGAACTATAAATACATTGACTGCATTATAGTGTAAAAGTTAAGAAGCTTTGCAGTAGTCACTGCAGAAGCATTTAAATCAAGCTGAATTTATTGTGAATACTATGAGGGATTCAAAGCTTTTAAAAACCCAAACCAACCCAAACAAAATAAACCAAGAAATACTTTAAATCATAAAGATATAGAAAGGATAGGACAATATTTTCATCAGGTTTTAACATAGTTTTAAAAAGTCCAGAGTACACAAGTAAAATTCCATAAAGTTCCAGTTAAATGCCTGTCATGACAAGAACAGCCACATATAATTCCTTAGGAAAAATGTATGAGAACACCTCAGACAACAGAAATTGCCACTTTGTAGCAGTATTTTCTTATTACTGAAAGTTTAGACCTCATTTTTTTCACATTAATCCTTTAATCTGAATATTTTTACCTGCAAAAGTGAGACTTTTTTTTTTCCTAAACTCAACCAGTAGTTTTCCAATGCAAAACTATGAAGGAAAAATTTCTTTCTCCAAAATGACCTGTAATCTGCCTTCATAAGTGTCTTCAGTGAAAACACAGTAGTGAGCTTATGTTGGGAAAATTTCTATTGGGATTAGGGTAATAGAAACCAGGTTAGTACAGCAACAGAAGAAGGTCTCTGAAACAAGGATATGTGAGTGAATTTCTTCTTTGCCAGTGTCTTAATTTTGATTGAAAAAATATTAAATTAAAAGGCATAATATGCAGTAGCTGCTAGGTGTCTATGGGCTGATCAGATGGTCCCTGGGAAAAGGACTGTGTAAGACACGGGAGCTTTGTGTGCAGTGTTAGAAAGAGGGCAGCTCGATCAAGTGGTGCAGCAGTTTATTGAAATTGGGAACTGGGATTTAGCCAATATCTCATTCTCACGCAGTACCTGGGATGTGCTTAGGATCAGAAGTAAGCAGACCCCAGCCTCCAGTGAACTGTTAGTTTTCAAAAGCGTTAGCAACTGCAG